CACCACGAGTGGATCCTAGGCTCAAGCTCCGAAGCCTACCTCCTCTGCCTCTCCTATGTCTTACGGGGGCATTGGGGAAGTGATCTAGAATTGGAACTTTTCTAGGGTTAAGGTTTGGAGATGACATTGTTGAAGAAGGATGAACTAAAGGGGAGAAAAAGCAAAAGTGAATAATAAATTGCTTGTTGAAGATCTATGAAGAAGAAGACAAAAGAAAGAGGGTTAAATATGTTTATAATGACAACCGTCCAACTTAGAAGTGTAATGATGGAAAACCTATAATAAAGGCAACTATCACTTCGTGAATAGTGAGAATGAAGAAGCCTTGAAAAAAGGGTGCAGAATTGCAGAACCAATCAGAAAGTGACACGTGTGTAGAGCATTAAATAAAAGGTGACACGTATGCAAAGCATTAATTATAAGGGGTAATTGAAGCATTAGTACTGTCATAGTATTAATTACGGCAAAAATTCCCTTTTTATGAAGATCTACTTCCCAGATATTTAATTGATAAATAAATGGAAGTAGGGGGACTATCTGTATTGGGAAAAAATTGAATTTACATTGAAGGTGACGTGGCATGACACGAGGACTGGTCAAATGGTCAAAACATGATGATCAGTTAAGAGGCACGAGTGACAACAGATACGGGGAAAGGAAAGCTAAATAGGCACAAGAGGCAATTCGAATAATACAAGTTACGTACCTATTTAGGTCATTTAAAGCCAAGAGATCAGAAGACATTGAAGACGTGGATATGATGACGAAAAGGAGTCCAAATTCAATATTAAATACTCAATACGTTAGAGAATTGGTATTAAATAGGAATGATTGTGTAACGTCTTATTTAATATCATTTATTGCTCATAATTATCTCATTAAGACTAATGTATTACTCCTTTACTTAGAATCAACTATAAAAGGAGGAGGTCTCGTCATTTGTAAGGGGGGAGGAGATCAAAAACATTACATTGGAATACAAACCTATTTACTGCTTATTTGTCATTCTCAATAAGTCTATTATTTCTTTTTCGTCTCCTGATTATCAGTAGCCCGAATTTCTATTTGTCTTTAGTTTTGACCAAAGAATCACATTTTTGGTTAAACAACAATAAAGTTTTATAATTACTTATGTACAGTGTAAACTCGTTTACACTATCAAAATTATTTAAAAAGTTAATTTTTTATGGGTAACACTCTTTAAAAGTTGGATTTTTTAACACAAAAATGACAACTAATTTAATAATCCAATAGTCGATTAAATTGTATTTATGTCCTGAAATTTTTGTGTGCTTCTACTTTTGCTTCTAATAACATATTTTCTAATGCAAGATCTAACATTATCCTTTGTGGATTGATATGCAGGGCTCTTTCAGAAATGCATTTGCAACAGTTATCTCTTTCGTTAGCTCGATTTTAAACTATCAAATTGGTTTATATATACTTTCTATAATAATTTAAAAGATGCCTGAACAATTCGCCTTATCAACCAAATCAGACCTATTTTTTCACAGGAGGAAACCGTTAGTGGGAGAGGCATATTTGAAACAAAAGATAATGATGACGGCTTTTATGGACCAATATAATAGATAACTATAAATGTAATACAAATCGCAGACATAGCTCGTACATCGAAAGCCAACTAATATTTGGACGTTTTCCTTTTAAAAAAAAATATAAAGGTAAGATATCTAAATTCACAAAGACAACCAATATTTTGAGATTAGCTCATACATTGAAAGCCATCATTCTTGTGAAAAGAGGAGTACGTAAATATTTTATCGAAAGAGAGATAGGCATAAGGTCCTTTAACTAAAGAAAGAATTCACATCGAAACTATGACCGAGAATCTGAGTATGTAGTTTAGATCGTGTAAGAATATCCATAATAAAAGGTATGCTCCAATTTTAGGCTCTATTTTTGGGTTAACTTACAAAGTGATCCCCATAAAGTTGGTAAGGTTCCATGAACTTCACATAAAAGGATCACTACTGAAAATCATCAGTATTATTTTTGGATCCTAAATCCTATCCGTTATTGGGTCTCATGCATGGAATGTTGGCTCATAATATAATCACAACGTACTGTCAATATTCAAGCAGACGAAAAGATGCTAATCCTCATTTAACAAGTTATAAAAGTGAAAAACCTCAGCTATTTTAGAACGCAAGTTTTGATAAACTGGATAAGTTAAAATATTTGAGGTGGCTATCGTCATATAAAAATTAGTACACTAGTACTTAATTTAGTCATTAGTCAGGGATAAAAGTCGAAATGCTACTTCGGAATTCGTATGAGGCTACGTGTTATTCCTTCTAACCGAAAGTAAAGATGCCAAGTATGTCATAATTATTCTTCATTCTTTGTGTCTAATTATGCCAAACTAATTTGGAATATTCTAACTTCCTTTCTGATTAATCTTTCTACTTCTGCTCTATTATTTTGATATGGAGTTATATGATGAATAATCCTTGGCTAAACTATTTACGATAGTTCGTATCTCTGTTTTAAAAGGCAGAATTGAGACTCGCCCCGGGACGGAACACTCGTAAAACGCCCCTGAACTTATGTGTGGGGCTTAGTTCCGTGAGACTTACGCCTCGGCTATTGGGGCTTACGCCCCGGACACACCCAACGCCTAGCGTACTGGGCTCGCTTAATAGAACTTTATACAATTGTGTTAGTCTCAAAATTAATTTTTTTTAATCATAAATTATTAAATTGAGAGTATTTTATGTCATAATTAAAATAAAAATTATTGCACGTTATCTACTAAGACTGCTATGATAGTAAATTTTAATTAAATCTTTCAAAGTATTTATTTATTAACTTTTGTTATGTCTTTATTATATAATAGTCCATAAATTTTTTTATAATTATTTTTCTAAATAGTATTTTTTTCACGTTTACAAAATACAATACTTATTAATTTAATAACTCATTATTAGCTAGCGTAACTATTTACAAATAATTAGTTATCACGGTATTGTACGGTAAATTATGTGTCACTTTATTAACTTGTTGAAACTTAAAAATAAATGATGTTAGAGAATCATATTTAAATTGTGAATTATGTTTTTATATAAATTCTCTTTCAAATAGAAAGCATATTAAATGAAATGAGTGTTTTGAAAAACATATCAAATTATAATATCGAAATTCTTTCAAGATTCATTACTCATTAAAAGATACATATAAGATTTTGTATCGAATACATTACTTTTGATATTTGAGTTGTAACGACGTTGTAGCTAATTTGCATATTATGATATATGTCATACTTTTCGTATTATTCATAGTCAAATTATAATTTATAAGTATTTTAAATAGATTAGTTGTTATAATTTTGTGATTTCAATGTAGTCTTTATAACTATTTTTTATTTATACTATCTTAAAATTCATGAAATTAGTAAAATTTAAAGATCCGTGGGACTTAGCCCCATGTCTCAGGGCTTACGCCTCGCCTCGTCAGAGGTAAAATGCCTCGCCTTTTAAAATATTGGTTCTTATACTTGTTCAGTTCCTAAAAGGACCAAGATACGTGAGGCACCCAAAAAAAAAAAAAAAAAAAAAATCGTAGCATAATATGATTAGGATTTATTTTTTCTTATACAACCAACTTATAAACACTGCATACTTAAGTTATGAACCTAAGGGGCTTGGAGTTCCCTATTTGATGTCTCTTCCCCTACATTGTAGGAGAATTTGTTTGAGATTGGTCATTAGAGACAAGCGTAAGAGAGATTAAGGGCCGTCGTAATATGAGTGATCACTAAACCACATGACTCGCTTTTATTAAGTTGCATATTTATATGTCGTAATACGCATGATTAGAGTTGAGATTGAGGATCGTTGAAATATATGATCTCAGTGACGTTGTTTGTAATACTCTGACCTTCTAACATGTTTTCAATTTGATGGTTTGGACTTTTTTACAACACAAATACCATGAGTGATAACCCCTTTCACAGCTTGTTTTATGCTGAAATAGCATGTTTCTCACATAATTTTATGCATGGAATTAATACGAATAAGTGATTGATTACAGCAAATGAATCTTGAACTCTTGCACATGCGACAAGTGTTTTTTATGAAATTATATTTTATGCTGTTGTGACTTGGCATGTTTATTATGTATCAATATATACCATCAATTTTTGCAATGGTTTAGATATATGAAATAGACCTATTTAAAGCGGTCATTTAACTACCTATTTTAAACATGAATCAACAAGAGGGGATTGTGCAAATGGTCAACACCCTCCGGCCACCACCTACAATTCCAGGGTCATGTGTTTGAGTCACTAGAGGAGCAATAGCTAGCTCCACCAAAGGGGAATAATTTTTTATTTTTTTTTTTGCATGAAATGATAGCTATAAACTATAAAGTACTACAATTATGGTGATTGAAAAAATAAAACCGTTACTTCTTGCCACAATCATGTTACAAATAAAATTGCTTTTTCTCCGTTTTGAAGTCTGATCTCTTAAAACCATTGACACTGATTACTTACCAGACCATCCTCCAAATGATTTGGCAGCAAAACGTACCTTAGAGCTGCAAGTCAGATTTATCTCTCCAGTCACATCTGACACAATAAAATTTATAGTGAAAGCACAGCATTGCCCCAAATTCAGTTTAGAGCTGGAACAAGACAGAAGCAATTGTTCTCGAAAACTCTTAACAAATATTGTCTCGGAGAAAGATATCGAAGAAAATACCTAGTGAGACAAATCGCGACACTGTCAGCACAATAAAGAGTAGATGGCACCAACCTATCTGCCAACTTCCTTGATTTCCCAAATTATACCACAACTTAACCCTTCTTGATATTGATATGTTAATTGACCATGTAAACAAATCGTTAAACAATCACAAAAAATGATACTTTTCTTTCCTTTCAGCTGTTCTTATAAAATAATACAGATTTCATATCATGCTGTATTACTATTTTCTTTCTTAACCCACTGAGTCGCTTGTTTTCTTGAACTGTGTCCCCTGCTTTTCTTTGTGCCGGAGTTTCTCGCTCTACTGGTACTAGGTTTGTTTGAGGAAGCACTAGAATTTGGTCTGGGGTTGGCTGCCAGATCTCTGTCTTTTTGCTCATTTGCCTCTTCGGTGGGTGCAGTTGAGGGTAATGCAGCAGGTTGTGGAAGATAAATACCTGGCCGCAACACTTCATGCTTTTTTATTTCAATTAAGCCACCCTTCTCTTGCTGGAGTTTCAGAATAGCATCAAATTTCTTTCTTCTTAGTTTTTCCGAGTCCGAGGAAAGAATCTTGTCTTCATTGTTGACTTCAGATCCACTGGAAGTCTGGATTCAAAAGATGAACAAATATCACTCGCTCTACCAGACTACCTCCAATATAAATAACAAAATGTTGTAACTATACCAAAAACAAACACTTCATTCCATTTAGTACTAACCAAGGGCACTAACCAACTGTAATTTGTTTCAGATTTAGCATATCGAGTCTCCTAGTTTATTTGTTCACTTTTAGTAGGCAATACCTTTTACAAACTCTTTTTTGAGACTCTTTTGACAAACCCTTCCTGACGATCTCAAGTCTACGTTCAAATCCAGGTATGAACCCCAGAATTAGGTTACATGTGTGACAGGTTGTTACAAATACATAATACATCACATCGGATGCATAAGGACATCCAACGGAGTTCTATGTTTGGATGCTCAAATACATTCACAACAAGGAGCAAAAAATGACACTTCCCCATTCTTTTGGCTCATGAGGAGTTTCCTTGCCCCAAGTAAGAGAGGAAATTTTTCTTTTTGAAATCAGGAATTCTCATAAAAGCAGCTTTTATAACATTTCAGCAAATCAAAGTATTTTCTCTACCTAGAAATTAGGGAAAAGATATGAGTTGGCCTAAAAAAAAAAAAAGAAGATACTTTCATAACATACCACAGCATGCTGAGTCTTCACGAAGTCTAGCACGTGCTCAATGTCCTTCGCTAGAAAAGACTTGCGACAAACCGGGCACTTCCCCACATCTTCTTCTGTTGAATCACACATCACCAAGCAAGATAATTAGTGAGCTAGGGAACTAGAAATGTTGGGAAACTATGTCTGCAAAAAAAAGAGCACAGATGGATAAAAATAAAATTCTCCCTCGGTTGTCCCCCAAAACCCCCAGCTGTAAACACCATCCATCTGGAAAATATTTAAAAAGTAGAAACCTAAAAATAATAAAACAAATTCAAAAATCTCTTTACCCCGTCCTCAAAGCATGAGGGCTTTTACGGTGAAGCATTAAGATATCAAATTAGTACTCGACAAACTGAGGTTGCAAGCAAAAAGAAACCTTTTGGTATAACCACTGCGAGTGGTATAGGAGCAAAAGATGGAAAAGAAATGGATCGAAATAAGTTGACTCATTGGTAATCTATAAGATGGAGAAACGGACAGGAAAGAAGGAAGGCAGAATCAAATAAAAACCTCATCCTCTCTGCAGAAAGAAGAGACAAGACAGGGGATGCCCTAGCCCCTAGGTTAGTGGATGCAGAGCCTCTTGGACCAAATGATGCAAGTAGCTATTCTAATGAAATAAGCTATGTTGCGCGGACTCTCCAAAACAGTTGCCGCACCCGTGTCGGATCTGACATGCACCCATCGATATTTTCAGAGAGTCCGAGCAACATAGGAAATAAGTGAAAGTACTATAACATCTTGCAACTAGACCAGGTATGCTGACAGAGTATGTGAATGCACGCATTATTTCAACGGAATCTCATTAGTCAGGTGAGTTGAGCAAAGAAAAATCAAATCCCTTGGCAAAAGTTGACACGACACATGGTTGAGCTCAAGTAACTGGTTTACCCCACAGAATATCTTATGCATTCCGTCAATCCTATTGTCTTTCTTTTGCCTTCATTTTTTTTTGGGGGGTGGAGGGCAAGGTGAAGGAGTAAAGGGGTCTAACTTTAAAGAGATTTCTTCTAATTCCAACATGTCCAAACACAACTTTTTTTATATGCTCAACAATCTTCATATCAATAATTATCTAAGAAAAGGCAATATCTGAGAAATCATCCTAAAGACCTATCTTAATTCCCAATAAAATTAAGGTAACCTTTTCTGAATCTAGTCAGACCAAGAGAAGAAAATGGAAGTGGAGTATGCTATGAAACATTTAAATCTTAACGCATCAGTTTCATTGCGACGGACCATCCTGATCCCTGTTCCTAGAAGACGAAGCAGAACCAGAGTCCGTAGGGGCATCAGATTCTTTTAATAGTTGAAGCCAATTCCACCATCTGATGATGCACTCACTGCAGCAATAAGAAAAATAAATGAGTACGAAGTTACAACCATGCATCTTTCAGCCAGTAGCAAATTAATCAAAATAAAGGGGTACTACTGACAGAATTTACCAATGAAAGCAATGAAAACAAGACATCAGTTTCATAAATGGCGCAGAGCTTCCTGCATCTTCATCAACTAATGGGTACAAGCACAATGGACACTCCCCATCAGGGTGATTCATGCTGGAAAGCTGCTCCACTGCTTCCTAGTAATACATTCAGAGCATCAGCTTTCTGGAAATTAAGCCCCCTTCTGAAATTCTAAGAAGAATTAACTGAAATAGCCGCTCTCCCAATCCCTTAAACTAAAAATAGCCGGTGGAGGTATAATATATATATTATATGTGTACAGTTGTATATAATCAATGCATATGGCCAGAAAAAGTAAACAACAAAATATGGCCGGCTATAAATAACCCAGATTCTAATAGTAATTTGGCCTATTTAGCAACACATTGTCTTAGTTGTTTAGCTCATAAATGTGAGTCCCTGACACAATCAATATATAAGAGTTTTACTCAATAGTTCGACAAGTAGATAATCCAATCCCAGCCCATAAAAAGTCATAATTAATTCCACCACTTAACTATCAGACTTGCTTTCAGAAAGAAACAGAGCACCCTGCCGCTAAACAAAGTTAAAATACCAGTAAAGCTCGAGTTTCTAACATAAATCTATATTATATATAAATGACACAAACAATTCTTTGAATTACCACTTAACTACCAGACACCTGTCAGTGGAAGAATTCGAACTCGTGGTGTGAGTCCAACCCACACACCATGGTTGTACTTTCTTATGGCTGAACCAAAACCCTAGGAGTTTCTCTTCTTTTAGATAAATTACAAAACCTGTTCCTTTTGACTTAATTTCAGGACAAAAAGATCCAAAGTAATAGTTACTCATCATAATGCAAGTCTTGAGATTATGTAGCTAGGTTTTAATAAAAGAGAGTATTCTAATTAGGATTATCATCAATCACAGAACTGGATCTGGACATTGCAATGGTTACCTCGCAAAGTGCTACAAGCATTAGACACGAGGAGAGTTCACAAGCCCTTGCTGAAAGACAACTTATCAATTGTTTATGCCTTTGTTCATCAAGGCCCTTGGAATCAACAATTCTAATAGCAGGAGGCTCGTCGGGATACTGCCAAAATAATTATATCAGTGCAGGAAAGAAATGTGAAACCTGTCTAATCATACAAGTATGGCTATCACATGAACTAGTTAAATACAACAACTACCCAGTAAAATCCCACAAAGTGGGGTCTGGGGAGGGTAATGTATACGCAGACCTTACCCCTACCACGATAGGGCAGAGAAGTTGTTTCCGATAGACCCTCGGCTCAGAAAGACGGAAATAAAAAACAAGAAAAGACAATTCATTAGTAGCTCCAGTAGCAACCGTAATAGTAACATGAACTAGTTAAATAAGAGATGAAATGGGACGCAAGTGTGGGTGGACTGCACAAAGCTATCAGATGAAAATGGACATGAAATTCGCTAAGGTAAGCGCGAATGAATTAGACAACAAAAGAACCAAATGATAATCAACAACCCCAAAAAGAATATTAATCACAGTGACAGAGTACCTTTGGACCAGCCTGGATTCCGATGATTGCTTCCACAAACTGCAAGACAGGAGAATGAAAAAATGTAACTATTCTTTATAAGGCTATAGCAACATACAACATAAAACAATAGGAAAGTAACCAGAAAACCAAAGAACAAAAAGAACTGTAAAGTATAATGACACTTCATCAGATTCATTTGAAAATATCAGCAAATATTGACAGCCTTAGGAAGCACGAACTACTCCAAAACCAATTCCCTCTTAGTCACTGCATGCATAATGTGTATATAATCTGTATAGAACATTATTCTTCTATCAATCTCTCTATGAGATTCCGGATCTGCACTTTCCTACACCCGCCAAATTGTGACTAAACGGACAGAATTTTGGTAATGCTTTAAGCTTTCGATCTAGGCAACAAAGGCTTGTCTGTAACGAGCTTAAATGGAACTCATATAATTGACTCCAACTCTTTTGGGATAGAGGCGTAGTTGTTGTCATAGTGTTGTCAAAGGCTTTATTTAAAGCGTGCTTAAGTCCTGGAGTTACTTGAAGCTCAAGCTGAGCACTTCCCCTCGACACTTCAGCACGAGTATCAAGGCAATAAAATTGGAGGGAATGGTACAGAGAAGATTAACAACGCCACTATGCAAGGATGACACGTACAAACAGAAAACTACCAGATTTCAATTGGAGGTTTATACGACATTGAGCTCTCCACTCAATAGCTAGCTTTTAGGGTGTCAGTTCTCCTAATGTTCGTATCCCAATCAACAAATTAGAAAACAGATTCATTAACCAAAAAAAGAATCTTTTCCGCTTCCCCCCAACTCATAATTCTCTTTTAACAGACATACAAAGCTGAGTTTTCACATTCAGGTAATTAATTAGCCTAAATCCTACAATACCACACAATTATACTAAAATCATACACGCACTAAATATAAGGATTTCAGCAGAAAGATCGTTCAAGAAGCCAATTCATTGTTAAAAATAATAAAACACACACCCACAAAGAGTAATTTGGGTAGGGGGAAGAAATTAGGGAAGAGAGGGAACCTGTTGAGAAGAGTCATCAGCCGTACGAGGTCTGATATGGAGATGAAAAGAAGGAGGATAAGTTTGAAGGAGTAAACAATCATCGCCGTAAACTGATTCTACTGCTTCTACTTCTCCCACGACTTCTTCCGCCATCTCGAGACGGTGCCAAACCCAAAGGGGGGCGTTGTTTACAAAATATACACTAAATATATGGGTTAAAAATTAAAAACAAAACAAATATATGGTGCCCCTCGAACTATATTTTATTTTCAGGACAAATTTAGTCCCACAAAAAATGTTTATTTATCAAGAAAAAAAGGTTAATTACTCCTTTGGGATTGAGATAGTTTTACGATTCAAAATGAACACTCCTTAATTTTACTTTGGACGTGTATGCAACTGTCATGAGAACGGTCTAAAATAAATCTTTCATTAAATCGTTAGGCTATCAAGTCAAATATCTTGTACTTATGCCAATTATTATCATAATTAAGTGTTATTGTCATGGTTAAGCAAAATATTCTTAAATGTTCTATTGTGTGACTTAGTTGAATATATATATTTTTTACTTAATTGAATATTACATATATTCTTTCGTTTGCTCGTGAAAAAATGTGTAACTATCTTATGAGTGCATTTACATGTCTCTAAGTTGAATAAGTTTCATATTGGACTTCAACATGTTTTTTCATTCTCAACAATTAAAATATTTGTTAAAGTTGATATTCCATACATCTCTTGTTTTCGTTTAGCTTTCTTTTGAATATCAAAGCTTTATTATGCTTTATGATCTTTTGCTCCTCAGATTTTCAAAATATTGAGTATATCTTGATCACTCTATTTTAAATAATATAATTGCGAAATTTTCCTATAACTCCCCTAAATTTTTAAATTCCGAAAATTGACCTTTTTGAATAGAACCAACAACTAATCTTGCCCTCAAAAGTTAGTACCCATATTGAGATATAGTCATTAGCAGAAGTTTCAAGATATCAAAAATGACCTCATTTATTATGAAATATAACATTTAATTCAAACTAAAATGAAACATCATCCGATAATTTGGTATTTCAGTATTTAACCCTTTTAACACATCGAGGTTAGAAAGGCCTCCTTGAGCTATTTTTCATTTATTTTAAAAAATAAAATACGTAAAACTACTATATTAATATTCCTTGTAAACTACTCTATGTTCTTACATTTTATATTTCAGATATTTACTCTATTTTCATGTTAAGAAGGCACAACTTGCGACGTATATGGTTGCACAACTCTAATGCTTATAATGATCAAAAGTAATTTATCAGAGCGCTGAAATCATTTCTTCCATTCAAATAATGTTCAATGGCTCCTATTTTTATCGTAATCGTCTTGACAAAAAGAGGACAAAGTTAATCTAAGCAAAGTTTGGGCTCTAGGGGTCATAGCAAAAGACAATTACTTCACTAATATACCCTGAGAGCTTTTAATACATACTATGGTTACAATACTCATTGATATACAATATTCATGCCCATATGCTGTAAACTAAGAGTCCACCAAACAATACAGAGAACCTGATTCTCTATCCGTTCCCACAGAACACACACAAAGGAAATAAATAAGACTGCAGTATTTTACGTGGAAAACTCCTAGCTCACGGGATTAAAAACTACGACCTACACTCGTAGGATTTCAACTTCACTAACTGAGCAACTTTAGATCACAAACTATTGTAACCTAGTAATTAAACTCTTAATCTTTTACCTGCTTGTAATAGCTCTATTGCAAGCCTCTTTGTAATAACTCTATTACAAAGCTCACCACTTTGACTAACTCTAGTCAAACACAAACATAACGTTTATGGTTTACAAAGATATCCTACGAGATGTTTCTAACTAAGCTGAGTAGGAATTACAAGTGAATAACATTAATAAAGATACAACAATCCTAAGGATATATGATGAACTCAATGATGGGATCTGGTCATTTGTTCTGTTGCTTCTTTGTTCTTCAAGTCTTTGAGTAAATGAAGGCGAATGCACACTTGAGAGAAAATAATATTTTAGGGTTTGCAAGTGTGTGTAATCCCTTGCCTCATGTTGATAATATATAAGTGAAGTGACTAGGATGATGCAAGCAAGTATCCGGTACACAGCATGCTTCAACAGTGACTGTTGCACTATTGCGTTTATAGTGCAGCAGCTTTAACAACTATAAAGAGTTGACTTGTACTGTGACAGGAGGAACCGATATCCATCTATTCCCTTTGTTGTTCCCTTGACTGATATCATTGGAACTTGTGCCAGACATGTGACTTGTTGTTCCGAGCACTTTGAGGCTTTGTATCAGGTTCCCTATCTAGTTCTCATATGAGGTTTGTTAAATTATCAAAACACAAAAGCACATAACTTATCAATTTTTCCTTTTTTGATGATGACAAACTTAGAATTGAGGTTCTCTCTGAGAATTAGATCTCCATTTGGATCCCCCTGCAGATTAGTCATATTCCCCCTGAGAACCTATTTTTGGTGATATTCCCCCTGAGAACTTGTTCCTCCCCTTCAATTTTTTTCCCCCCTTTTGTCATCATAAAAGATTAATTCAAGTAAACGCAAAAAGAAGTCCAGCAAAGTTAACTCATGCCACTTGTGTGCACACAACGTATCTAAAAACATAACACAAGAGTAAAGCATGCATAGCAAAAGACTGAGCTGCTCATTAATTGAAGAGAGAAGAAAAACATTGGCAGTAGTAGTACCATTGTTAAAAAACATCCACAAAATAAACAAACTAAAGTACCACAGTCATAAGAATAAAATTCAAAGTAGGACACTAGGACTAAGACATGCATTGATAATCTAGACACTGACAAGGAGACTGTTTAAGGGGCACTTGAAAAAGTAGGGAAGGATGAAGGGTCAAGGGCTTTGAGAAAAACATCCACTAGAGCATTTGTAGACCGCTGCTCATTGATCAGCTACTCTTTCAGGTTCTCAACATGTTTCCTTAGGTCTATATTTTCAGCAGCCAAGCGGGCAACCTCTGCACCCTGAGCACTGCTAGAACAAGGTTCCTCTTTAGCTTGACTGAGCTGCCTCTCAAGAATGGAATGTCTAGCCTTCATCCTCCATATCTCCTCATTAGCAGCAGTCTAAGCATCAATCTGCTGAAAACCGTATAATTGCTGCCAACTCCCCTTCTTGTCGATACATCACACTCCTCCAAGGTACTCATTGAGAATGATTGCTTTTGAGTTCCCACAGCTGCTCTCCCCAAGGGGACTTTGAAATATTCAAACACTCTGGTGATCAGGAACCCATAAGGCAAATTATGATTCCCATCCTTGAAGTCTGCCACCTTTTGCATATGTTCAATCATGATTATAGATAGGTTGATAGTAATGTATCCATCCAATGCCTCCAGGAGTAACACGTTCGCTATTGATGCAATGGAACGTTCTTTCACTCGAGGGAGCAGTATTTTGTTCACTATCTCAAACATGAGCTGGTATTTTGGAAGTAGGGCCTTTTTGTGCACTCGTTCCCCTTTCTAAATAGCTTGAGGCTTTAGAATAACCTTCCTAAAATCGGCAGAACAGGTCCCTTCAACAGACGAGAGCCCTCAGTAGGCACATCCAGGATACTCTCTAGTACAACTTCATCCATCATAACATCCATTCCATTAACCTTCAGGTAGATATTGTCATCCTTCATAGTGAACAAATCAGCGTAGAAGCTGGAAACTTCCTCTTCATATACTTTTGGACTCTAAATAGTAAAAAGATTACTCCACTTCTGAAACTCGCAAATTTCAACTAGTTGTCTCATGCCTGACATGTCAAGAATGTCAATATCAAACACTCTGCCCCACAACACTTTTTGTTGCTTCATCTTTTCTCTTCAGACAACTTTAGACACTTCCATTCTAGCCTTCTTGGAGGAACCAAGTTCCTCACTATCACTTGCCTTTATCTTGTGAGATTTCTTCTTCTCAAAAGCTTTCTCCTTCCTACCAGACTTAGCTTTCTCACCAGACTCCTTCTTCTCAACACTCTTCTCTTCATCCATTTCAACTCCTTTCACAGATGATCCTTTCTTGGGCTTCTCAATCACAGACTTCTTATAGGATTTACGAACAAGGGGAGCAGGTTTCTCATTCACCTCTTCGTCCTCAATATCCACAATATTGGCTGGGGGCAAATCCTCCTCATTTACTAATTTTCCCCATTTCACCAATCTTTTTCTCCTTATTCCTCTTCAACACATTTTCAAGGTTTTATTTCTTCTGTTTTCTAGTAGTGGGTCTTTTAAGAATGGGCTCTTTGGAGACTGCCCTACCACTTCTAGTGGCGATAAACTGTGCTACATGCATATCATCATTTCTGTTGTTGAACTATTTGCTTAGATGGCAATTTTGTACTTAGTCACATCCATCATAAATGACCATTGGGTCTTAATAGGATTAGCATATAGCCTAACATGATTTCTAATATGAATCTGCAACTCAATTACTCTAACACATAGAGGTCACATGAATGGCTACAAGGTTTGATGACTACACAATACCACCGAATCAACCGATCTCATTTTCTACAGTGCACGCCCACATGCCTTTCACCTAGCATGTGTGTCACCTCAACACCAACCACATAACACGTAAGGGATTCATGTTAAAAATTGAGACAGTCAAATTGAGTACTCTAAGAGTGTGAGTACGTGAGGTTTTCATTGTATTGCATCACATACGATATGCATATTGGCATATAGATATAGAGATGTCGTATTCCTCATATCAGTCACACGTGGCATATTTTATCTGTATTGAGCTTAACTTTAAAACTGTAAGCATGTCTATATTTCATGTACCGTGTACGAACAAATTATGAGTTTTCTTTGAGATGTTTGTCCTATTTCCTATCATTTATGTACTGTTAAACTATGTATTCAAACTGTATTGGTTGAGCTCATCACTGCTTTCAGCCCAAAGGTTAGTCTTATTAATTGTTTATTTAGTTGTACTCACACTACACTCTGCACTTCGTGTGCAGATCCAGGTATTTTTGGTCACGATGGTTGCTAATTTAGAGTTTTTACCAGTACGGAGATTATCGAGCTAGCTGCTTTGGCACCCGCAGACCTTGACTCTCCTCCTTTATCTCTTAGTTTTATTTATATTGTTCTACCCTCCTAAATAGTGTTTCAGACCAT